TTTCCCTAAGCAAAACCTCAACCCAGACACCGACCACAGCAATCGAAGCAATTCATCACGCAGGTTCGTCCTTTATCTTCGCAATTAGTTTCGTATTTGATTTGGCTATGCTTCTTTAGGTTTTGGTTTAAGTTAGGTTTCGTTTAGTTCCCGATAAGCCGATGAATGATTTCAGGAATTGAAATTATAGAGCCAGACTTCATTATAAGCTTTCTAAGTAAAGATTTGGAATATAGAAGAGTTGGGTTTTTGACATTATTGTCATTGGTTTGGTTATGGAATCTTAAATTAGGTTTATTTGATGTAGTTTATTTCAGGTAGCGTCAGAAATATAGAATATCTGAATTACATAAAACATGTCTGACGAAGGAAGAGTACACCCAGATTGCAGAAATGCATCCAATCCCTACCATGAATGCAGCGAATATTGCTTTGCAGTTATTGCCGAAGCTAAGGCTCGAATGGATCAAAACCAATCAGGTAATGCTTTTTTCTTTAACCAGTGCATTTTGTGTCTGTTTAGTATGTCATAATTGGCTATTTTCTGTTGTGTCGTTTCGTGGCCTTGAGAAATATGAAATCTTTCTTGCACTTCAGTTTTGACTCCATAACTGTAAGCTGTATGGTCTTGGACAGAAGCTGCTTTCATCTGAAACTGAACCTCAGGGGACTGATTTTATGGGATAATACATTATTTTCAAATGTTATTACGGAGCAGGGACTCAAGTTATCAATTTTTCCTCCTTTTTTATATAGAAGTCTGCATTTTTATTTTTATTTTATATTCAAATATGTGTGGTAGAACTTTAGCTATACTTGAAAACTCTAGGTCCTCCATGTCTTTGACCCCTTGTGAAACTATTGTTCCACCCCAATTTGTGTCTGTATACCTAAATCATTCTGTTCTACACTACATCAGAAGATGTGCAAGCCAGTGGCGGTAGTGGAAAATCCAACTCAGAGGCCGCTGAGCAAGAGGAATATGTACATAATGAAAAACCAGATTCTGAAGAACTTGCTGATGATGGTGATGACCATCCTGAGGAGAATATGGAAGGAGACTTCACAAAGTTCACAGGGAGGAAGAAAAAATTGTGGGAATTGAGGATGAAGATGGTAAGTCCTTGTCATTAAGTTCATTGGAATTTAAAATATAACACTGTTCCATCATACTTCTTTATTGATTCCACTGTTAACTTTTATTTAGAATAAGGCAAGAAAAGACAATCAAACGGATATTGCAGCTGAAAAGAAAAGACTGGAACCTCCACAAGAGTCCAGGGGCATTTCTAAACAAAAATGGCTTGAAGAGAGGAAGAAAAGAATTGGCAAACTTCTAGATGCAAATAATTTGGATATGAAAAGCGCATACATGCTAGATACACAAGAGATGGCAGAGGCAAAATACAAGAAATGGGAAAAGGATCCCGCCCCAGCTGGCTGGGATGGTATGCTTTAGAATCTCTGCTCATTAATTCATTATTATTTCTGTGTTTGGTTAAGGTTTTAGCTGGTCTCCTCAGTTCGTTGTTAATGATGATACATATGCTCTTTATGTTCCTTTGTTTCGGAACATACTTGTAGCTCTATTTGATATGGACTCTTGATTTTTATCAAACTCAATTTGCTTTTGAAGTTATAGAATATGAGAGAAAGTTTGTTGATGTAAACTGGAATGGCTTAGTTACTCTTAATGAGTAAATACGAATATTTAGGACATATGAGGAAAGGAAAGGGCATTGTGTAACCTAGGGTTAAGCAAGATAAAGAGGCGTATTATTGTTATTACATTATTTATTTGATACTACGCCATACATATGTTTAAGCTAAATTGGGTTTGTATACATCGTATTTTCAACCATGTGCTTTTATGCATGCTTGCACACATATCAGAATTCTCTATTGCCAATTATGATGCAGAAAGAACAATATTCTTGATATCCACTTTGTTCTTCTATTCTTGTATAAATTTATAAAATCAAAATGTGATCTGACATGTTGTTCAAACAGTTTTCAATCAGAAAACTCTGTATGATGCATACAAAAAGCGAACAAAGAACATTGAGATTGACTTGGAAGAATACAATAGGATGAAAGAGGCTGATCCAGAGTTCTATCGTGAAGCTTCCAGCCTCCAATATGGGAAGGTATTTTGCTGTTGAGGGAAATCTGATTCCTGGTAATCTGGTTAAAAATGGAGTCTAAGCCCTGAATGTTCTATTTAATTGTGCAGGCTCCAAAGATATCAGAGGACAAGATTGATAAGATGGTGAAGGAACTCAAGGATCGGGAAGAGAAGAAGAATTCATTTAGCAGGAGGAGGAGGTTCCACGATGAGAAAGATATTGACTCGATCAATGACCGGAATGAGCATTTTAATAAGAAGATTGAGCGAGCCTTTGGTAGATACACACTGGAGATCAAAAACAATCTTGAGCGAGGAACTGCCTTGCCTGACTAAGGTAAACTCAACAAAATGCACTGTCTTCCGATGTTTGTCTAATTGTGTAATCAACTGACGTATGGGAACTTATGATTCCATCGCCTTACTTCTGGCAGATTGGTGCTGGGGAATTGTAATAATACATGGAATTTGGGGTGAAAGTGTTTTGTTATACTCAGATTTCGTTACAGTTTGAAGTGGCATAACAAGTTTTCGTGTAGAAACTGATAATAGTTGTCCAGTTAACACCGGAATTTATCATTTTTTCATATGAGCATATATGCATCATTTAAAAAATATATGAAAATGCCTGATAATATGTGGAATTGCTATTATCAGTTTTATGTTCACTCTGAAGTGCCTAGAGGCAGATGCGGCCCTCCCGCAGATAGGTCCCATGTGATAGGAAAGTGGAAACTTTATCTAAATTTGGGTGATTTCAGCCCTGCAATAACAGGCTAAAAATCATGAATAATGGCACGTTGCCCAAAGAGGAATGGAATGGGCCTACAAAACTCTCAAACGTCCTAGCTATGAGTCCTTCATGATTGCAGTGCTTTTATTGATGGCATCTTCTTATGAATGTTTCAGAGGGTGTTAGAAGACCCCATCCAGATTCCCCCCCTTTCACCAAGATTTTTTTTTTAATGTCCCAAAACGCGAAGTTCCTCTCTTGTGAGGTCCAATCACCATTAAAATGGTAGAGCAGTGCATGGCATATCATTGTAAATGAAAAAAACAAAGTTGTTGGCTCTCAATTTCAGAATGTTGCACAAGTTGGAAATATAAGAGTTGGAAAAAACATATATATACATATATTGGGTTGCATAGCATTGTCCTATTCATTTATTCTTCTGAGATTCAAGCTTTTGGTAGTGTGTTGAGCTTCACGTGTATCTCATATTCCCCGCGTTGATCTGTAGGTGCAGCTTTTGAATCTTCTACCAGTTTGAGGCAAGATGAACTGAAAGATACTACACAAGGATTTCTTTTTCTTTTTAGAACTCAGAGCAGATGTGGATTAGGCTATTTAACCAGAGCAGGGCGTCTTTTTGTATTTAAGTTCGGGTCTCCTTGAATAATTTAGAATATTGCTCATACATAAAAAAAAATATCAAGAAGCAAGATGAGGTTGACTGCTGCTTGAAAATTTGTAGCAACGATTTTCAGAGAATTGTTTTGTATTATTAACCATCTACAACGGTAAAACCCTGTGGTCCTGCTGGAGCGACATTCCTATCATTTCAATTTCTCTTCATGCTTATCAAAAAATACTGAAAAATAATAAAGGAGCACAGTTATTTTTGAACCACAACTATGCCTCACTGGCATCCTCGTGAAGAAAATATTGAAGACCCAGCAGGACAGGTGAGGACCACAGCACTAAATAAACCAATTTGAAGCCTGATTTTTTGACACTGCATGGACCACACACTCTCTCTCTCTCTCTCTCTCTCTCTCTCTCTCTCTCTCTCTCTATCTACATCAAATACACTTAGGTTTCCAACGAAATGACCATCGTGAAAAGACGAGAGGCAAATAAAATAACAGGTAAAAAATATACAAAATGGTCATTTTTTCCTTCCTTTTTCTTTTTTGGAATTTCAGTGGACCAATGAGCTTCATCGACCCATGTGCTTTGCCATGACATGCAGTCCAATGCGTGGCAAATGCAAATACAGAGAGAATTGGTTTATATATATAGTCCCGTCCCGGTCCAGTCCAGTCCCATTCTGCTTTCACTTTCTTACTTTATTACGAGGCTGGGTTATTATTATAGTCCCACTCTGTTCCAAAAACTGGACCCAATGCACTTGTCATTTCAGACCTTTCCAGAAAGGCACAACAAAGAAACCCGGGCTATAGCAGCACCTCACTCACAAAACCCTGCAGGCCATAATGTATATAATAATATATATATGTGTGTGTGTGTGTGCAGAGGCATCTTCAATGCTCTAGGCTGCTCTTCTGGAAGCACACGTGGCCTGAACGAACCCACTGGAATCCAAGGCCAAGGCTAGCAGGACAAACCACCCCGCCAACACCCACACCTACACAGAAAGCAGCTTTGCTGCTTTGTAGAGCCAGCAGTTGTGCCAAGAAAGTTTAAAACTTTGGCCTGTGCAATGCATGGATTGAAGACAGCTAGCTGGCTTTAATTATTTTAGCTTTGCTAATGCAAGTTGGTCTAAAATTTTACCTAGTAAATTGCTTGTTTGATTTTCTATTTTTAAAGGGTTTCCAAAATATAATTATTAGGTGGGTAAGAGAGACCATAATGAAAATTATTAGAGAGAGAGAGAGAGAGAAAGAGAAAGAGAGAGACGGGAGCAAAACATCACTACTCAATGCACATCATGCACAGCTAACAAGAAGAAATTAAAAGATAATAGAGAAACAAGAAAGATATAAGATGATCATCAACATCAAGATCTTCTCATACACAATCATCAACAAACTAATAAATAGAACAAAATATCAGAACTTGACACTTTCTCTTTTCTTCCTTTTTCATCTCCTCTCTTTTGAATCAGTTGGTTGGGTTGCTTCTGAATGATCCCAAAGCCTTGATAGCTGCTGCTCTGAGAATGTACTGGTGGTATGCAGCTGCAGCCAGAGCTCCAACAAATGGCCCAACCCAGAAGATCCACTGCACAAATTCACAAAACCATCGTAAAAAAAGACCAAATAATCACAACAAACAACAATCAAAACGGCATGTAGTATGAGTTTAACAAAGACCAAAAGCAAAAGGGTCATCTTACCTGGTCATCCCAGGCTTTTTTGTTGTTGAAAATCACAGCAGCACCAAAGCTCCTTGCTGGGTTGATTCCGGTACCAGTGATGGGGATTGTAGCCAAGTGCACAATGAACACAGCAAACCCAATAGGCAGTGGAGCCAAAACCTGCTCATACAAACCAACCCACATGTTAAAATCATCAAAATCTCAAGACCCAGAAACCAAAACCCAATCTCTTTTTTTGGTTTGGAAAACAAAACAGAAACCAATTATGGAAAGGAAAAGAGAAAGAAGAAAAGCTAAAGAATTTGAGACTTACAGGCACGTGGGAGTCACGTGCACTCCTCTTGGGGTCAGTGGCTGAGAAAACCGTGTAGACGAGAACAAAGGTGCCAATAATCTCAGCACCCAAAGCTGTGCCCCTGCTGTAGCCAGAAGCCACCGTGTTGGCTCCACCACCCTGTGAGTTGTAGTTGTGTTTCTGGAAGGCCTTGACAAGCCCAACGCCAACAATGGCTCCTAAGCACTGCGCCACGATGTAAGCCACAGCTCTGATCAACGAGACCTTGCGAGCCAAGAAAAGCCCGAAAGTCACAGCTGGGTTAATGTGACCACCTGAAAACACAAAACGAAACCAAAAACTCATCAGAAATCAAGCACCAACAGGGCAAAAAGACGACATGGGTTTTGAAGAAAAGGCCTGAAACGAAATGGGTTGCTGGTATTTCTTACCAGAGATGCCGGCGGTGCAGTAGACGAGGACGAAGATCATGCCACCGAAGGCCCAGGCAATACCCAGAAGGCCAACGCCATCGCAAGGCCCGCTCTGGACCTTGTTGCCTATGACAGTGGATACGGTGATGTAGAGGAAGAGCAGGGTGGCTATGAACTCGGCTATGAGGGCTCTGTAGAAGGACCACCGCTTGAGCTCATCGCTGTCGATGAGAGGAGCTGGTGGTGGGTCCACATAGTCCTTCCCATGGTGGTGGGCTTGTCCCTCTTCACTCACTTCTTTGGACATTTTCCTCAAGCAGGTAGAGAGCGCTCAAAAAGTTTGGTCTTTTGCTCAAAAGAGTGTAGAGAAGAGCTTGGAGGTTTTTGGGAATGAGGGGTTTGTTTTTAAGAGTGAGCAGTGAGGAGGGAGAAAGGAAGGGAAATGGTACATTTATGGATAAGGGAGGGGTATTTTGGGGATTTTTGAAATATGTGAGAAATGGTTGGGAGTGGGACAGAATAGGTTAGGGAGAGAAAGAAAAAGGACGTGTTTTTTTAGGGTTTTTAGAGAGAGAGAGAGTAGTGGGTGGGGCCAGAGGGTACAGCAAGACCATGTGAAGGTTAATCATCTCTGTGACGGTAAAGGGAATAAGGGGTTTAGAGAGGTTATGCTGATGGGTATTGGGTAGGGCCAAAGGTGAGTCAGCCTGGCACCCAACTAGACCCCGACCTACAACGGTTATATGTCTCTCCAATCTCTCTCTCTCTCTCTGTGTATAAAACTTGTAGGGTTGAAGAGACTGGTTCGGAACCAGTGGGTATATTTGTATTTGATGCGTTTAGGCTTGCATTTGCATTTAGAGCTGTATGTAGAGTAACCAACCTTTTCCCTTGAACAATAATTCAGCTCAAATATGTGTGGCTTATGTTTTAGTTTATTGGATTGAAAATTGAAACTCACCAAACCAAATGTTGAGCCATGTTTAAGGGTTCAATGTTTTTTACCTACTTCCGGTTGAGGACACATGTAATAAACAAATGTGTGACTTTCTATTTAAAGTGGCATTTTGATTTCTGAGTTTCAATTACACTAACCCTACAAAGGCTGCTTTAAAATGGGTACTTTCTAATCGTAGATTTTCACGAGTCCTACAATAAAATCTATATGCGTTTACAGACACACCTGACTTTAATAGAATTCAAATGACAATTTTAGTTGTCCAAGTCATTCTTCTTCAAACATTAATATCATATGATCACTAATAATAGAAAGCTTCAAATCTTTAGAGGCTTATCTTGTGAAATACATCGGACTTCAAGATTGACGGGTTGAGAAAGATAACATGTAAAATCATGATAGCTACTGATTAGTGCATTGAACATGCATTAGACATATTCACTAAAACCTATTAATGAGAAATGCTAACGTGACCTGCTCAAAATACATGAGGTGACAACAAATCCGTGTATGAAATTTCTCTTGAGCAAGTATGATTAGCATCTCTCATTCTTAATCTAATTAGGATTTGTATACCATAATTTAATGGAACACACGAAGATTCACAAATTTGGATTAAGAGATGGATGACCCCCCCACCCCCTCATGCGGGTTTACCCGAAGACATGTGTAAGGCATGTACAGAAAGAAAAGGGACAAAACTATGGAGACAGTCGTATGTATGTGTATAATCAGAGACAGAGGATTTGAGCTGGACTTACATTCTTTTTGAATTATTTTAATGGTTGAAATTGAAGATGTGGGCCCTTTCACAGAAAAACAAAAGAAAACGGTTGTTGCTGGTTGTGGGAAAGTTTTCTTTATTTTGATAGTAGGATCATCGTCCAAGACGTCTTTTAGCCTGGCTTTTGTTGATTGCTTTGTCTTCATCCAATCCAACGGTACTATTTTACTAGCAAATTGCAATGCGAAGAAAAAGAGAGTGATGCAGTGCAGTCACGAGCATCATGAAAGATGTATGTCCGCCCTTCCTAATCCTCTGAGAAGCTCTGATGATTTTGATTTCAAAGTACCTGATCAATTTGTCGTGGAACAGGCAGGCAGGGCCCTCATGTTTTCTTCTGCCCAAAATACCCTCATAATTGATGGAATTTGATTATTTATTTATTTTTTATTATTTATAAATGAAGATAAAAACTAGTACTAGTAAGTACTGACTGGTAAATTAGTGGCAATGAAGTAAAAAAAATTAAATGGGTGAGAAGAGAAATAGGGGGGAGGGTGGGGGTGACTTCAATTACAATTTTTTTTTCTTCTACTTATGCAGTGCATTTTTTTGGTATTGTTTGGCCAAGTTTGGAATGTAGAGGCTCATAGCCTCATAATATCTATGTCCTTCTTCACTGTTTTATTTAGAAATCTCAAAAAATAAATTCGCGTGTTGAGTACAATTCAACTCTTTTTAATTATTGAATTTGACGGGTTCATTTTTCTCCCTATAATTTAGAATGATAATCAACATAAAATCAATAAGTTATGTGCACGTGGCATGTTTATAAGAACGAAAGTAGAAACCCTAGCAAACTATGTGAAATGTTATTTGGCAAAAGAAAAGTGTAATCACAAAATAAATAGTGACTAATGTTTTGAAGAGAGAATTTACTAACTCAACTTTTTTAGTATTTTATATACAAGCGAATGGATAATCTAAATTACTTATAATTTATAAGTAGACTAATTTGCAGATGGATTGAAACTTGAATGTAAAAAGACGAAATCACTGCCCTGGTAAAGTAATATTATCCCTGTCTCTCACCTAACTCATAATTTGAACAAGAAATTCTTTGCTTAATATTCAAATTTGTGTCACATCAGTAAATTAATTGACATGAGGGGACAAAAAGATCCACGTGTCCAGTAGCTAAAACAGCTAGATGCTTCCAGAGCCGTCTTTCTTCAACCGTTGAAAGGGTAACGGAAGGGCGCAACGGTCATATTTTCCGAAAATTCATCTTTGTGGCTGTGAGTGAGGCAGTGGGCCCCGCAGAGCAAGGGACCCACTCCCTTTATAAAGCTTCCTGCTAATTTCCGAAGAGATAGAGCTAGATAGAATTACTGATGCGACCAGTGAAGAAGGCACTCACAACTTTTGATTCGTTCTACCATTTTACGAAAATGTCCAAATTCTTATCCGCAATGCCCTGAAAACAAATTGCATCTCCTCAGTCTGATTATGATTAATTGTGTTCATGTGCCTCATCATAATTCATTTCTAATTTTACACTTGACTCTTGTTTCCTTTCCGAAGGAGAAGACTAGATACATTGTCCATTGTATTTTTCCTTTCTAAATCAGAAATCCTCGAAAATTGTTTAGTCATTTACGATTATCGAATATATAGACGAACTCAGTATTTTCATTAAGCACTAAATTATGACAAAAATAGGTAAACAGCTAAATAATTTTCATACGATACAACCACATGATGAAAAGGAAAAAAGAGAAAGGTGGAAAATGAATGTATAATACGGAAATTATGTCATGTTTTCTCTAACATAATCTTTAATGAATTATATGAAAACTTTCTTTTTCTCCTACTTGAGCAAAAAAGAGAAAGGCAAAAAGAAAAAGGGTTTACACATTCATGGTATTCGGGATTTGGTTAGTGATTCGGATGGAAGGTTATGGCTTTTTTCTGAACATGAAAAAGGGAATGCCAATTAAAGGAAAAAGTACAAAAATGAAAAAGGAAAAGATAAAGGATAAACAGTTATTTGGCTGGTATTATGGCAGTAGAAAAGCCAAAATTGACTGTAATTTTAGGAAATTTGTGCATGTAAAAATGCATCATCTTTATTCTTGAGAAAGCTATATAGAACATCCACAATAGAAGTACTCTGTAAACCTCATAAAATTTGTTTCGGAGAAAATCGAACCAAGAACTTCTAATGCAGAGTCGAATACTCTTAATCATGTTCTTTAACAAGTTTTTAGATATGCTTCAATGCAAAAGAGAAACTACTAGCCCATCACCTGCCCGCATAAAATTTGTACACACCAATCACTCTTGGAGAATGGCTTGTATATATGGTGAAAATTTTGAGAAAGACCCAATTAGAAATGTTGTCAATCAATAATAAATTTTTCTAGGGGCATATTTGTCGTATTGGGAGATTACAAGGATGGGGGTCCCCCAATTTTTTGATATGATCTTGTTGGAAGCTTGTGAGGGAGGAAAACAAAAATGAAAGCGTGAGCAAAACAAACAGATTAGACAAAATGTCCAAATCTAAGTAAGTAAGTTTTAGGTTTTAGTTACTCAAGGATAAGGGTCCATCTTGTGTTTTATATTTAAGGTCTATTTTGGCTTAACCACAAAGGCTACGATCACTCATAAGTTGCAGATAAATTTTGGAAATTTTTTTAAAATTAAATTTTGGAAGGAATTTATTTTTGGGGAAGACATAATCTGATTTGATTTTGAAGATCTTCATTTTAAAACAATAGAAATGATAGGAATAATCCACAGAAGATATGCCCTTTCCACACCTGGCTGATTAACTAAGAGATGGATTAATTAATGTAAGTTGGACCATTAGAGATTAGTGGACCATCTAATCATTGATGCTTAGAACATACAGCATAGCAGAGAGATTATTCTAGCTTCAACCCCAATAAAACAATAATTGTTTAGAAAACAAATATTAAAAGTACAGCGTATTAGTAAATACTAATACGAAAATGGTTTTTAATAAAGAAACATAATCTATACAAACATGTAAACCTCATTTTCTTATCACTACCTTAAGCCACTGAGTTTTACAGAACATACATTCACATGGATCATGGCCGGTTGAAATAGCTTGGCTGTGCGAAACCGGTTCAACCCAGCCAACTTGAACATCACTTACGTTGTCGGGATTCAACTTCAACATACAGTAACTTGGATCACGTCACATTGTCGAGGCTATACATGTAAAACAATTATAGATGATGGAATTAATTGTTCCAAAATTTCCTGCACATATAAGCAGAATAGGATAAAGAGTGATAGTTCGTTCTTTTGTGGTTGAACTAATCTTGGTTGCGAGATATACAGCAACAGAGTCAGCAATGAGTGTGGTTGTGACAATAGTAAATCTCTTCCCAAAGTGTTATCTGCTTCGTGATCGAAACAGTAAAAATCGGAGTCCAATATTCAGATCCCGAGCAAACTTGATCAATATGAAGAGGAGTAATCATAAAGTATATATCTCAATCAAGTTTCCAATCAAGGGTTTAAAATGCTTTATCCAGGAGTGAGCGTCTGATAGCCACTTCACTTGTGCACAAAGCGTGTGATGACCCAATGAACCTGTTTAGAAACGGAAAGTGTCAAAATAAATGAATGGTGAAGGAAGGTTGTGTATAATTTGGGTTTCAGCAAGAGTAGCTTTCTATTGACACCTACAATGTTATTTTCAGGATCAGACCAGTACAATCCTTGTATCGCAATAATGGCTAGGTTGGAAGTTACGAGAACAAAAATACTCAAAGAATGTACTCCCATCCACTCCAACAGAGATGTAATGCACCTGTAACCGTAAACATCGATCTGCAATAAAGAGCAGGCAGTATACTCATCAATTGGGTTGTTACCACCCTCATTAACTGAAAATTTGTAAGGATGGGACTTGTTATACCTACCTTGACTGAAGAATAATGCAAAAATAATAATAATAATAATAAATAATAAATTGCAAGCATGAGGCTAACATTCATTTGGAAGAATCATAGGCATTTAAATTGTGCCAGAAATTAAAGTCTGACATAAGTACAAGGCAAGAAGAAAACGGGATTGTGTGCTACTGAAATTTGATCTTTTGGTATAAGCTCCTACCATCCTTCATGAATGATTTGTTTATTAAAAAAGAACAAATAGACCGAGCTTAAAAACTCTATTTTCAGGTATATTTGCTAGAATTAGTATGGTAAATGGAAACTTAAAAAGAAGAGACCGAATCTCAGATAGGAAACATGATCATTATGTCCAAGTCTCATTAGCTCACCAAAGACAAAGCATGGTAAAACAAGAATCATTTATCACTTCCAATATATAGAATAAACTCTTAGCACTGACCAGTAGATACAGAGCGCAAAATGTGATTCCCGCAGAAGCTGAAGTAATTAGCATATAACTGATTGTGTACAGAAGCTAGCTCAAATCAAATCCACATACTAAGAGCTTGAAATTCATCAGTGAAATGTAGATTTTGCTGAAATCATCTTAGCCGGAGTAATTTAAATGAAGTACCCACTGAGTTCAAGGCACAATAACATTTTATACCTATGAAGCCAAGGAATGAACCAAGGACAAAGATTGAAACTGAAAACAAGGACCAAGCATTTAGGCGCCCTTTGTGGTCCTGAAAAAGTAAACAGAACATCTGCTGAGTAAATTACCTAAGCAATAAAAGCTTGCATGAAGATTAAAGATGATAGACAAGATAATGTACAACTCATTGAACGAGTCATTTGTCACAAATATCACAGCATAGAGTTCAATGCATCTTAAGGACTATTGTCAAGGTTTTTGTTAAAATTGTGTCAACACTAGAAAGCTGCTAAATATTTTTCTAAAGTGAATATTGAAATCCGCTAAACTCATGAACAAGGCATTACCTCTATGTGTGCAAGAATGTGACCATATTGAAGTCCAATTATGCAGGTCACTGCAGCTGTTAGGGAGCTGTGAACACATAATGAGTGTCAATAGACTGATATTTGTAACTAGCTGTGATGAAATGCTACGACATAACAAAATCAATTACTAAAGAAGAGGAGCCAGTGGCCAAGTGGGTGACAACAATGGATGATAGTGACTGCTCTAAAGTCACAGAGGCAGAGAGGATGCTTGTACAGGCTGAGCCAATTAAACCAAGTAGGAACACATTTCTACAGCGACTGTTATCTTTGTTATTTTGATGCTTCTAAAATATTTGCAATTATGGTTTTGATATGAATTGAGAAATACTATGATGGGCTGTATTAGGCATCATCTAGAGTAGCTGTAAATAAAACAAGATATTGACATGGAAGGAAAGTAGTTTGAATTTCTGTAGCTTGACAGAAACCTCCATTTGAATTGTTGGTTTCTTCTTTTTCTGAAGTTTGCGCTAAGTAAATCTTAAAATATATTGATTAGCTAAAATGGTATGTCATGAACAGAATAACTGAAGCAAACACAACTTAACACCCTGTGAATATGATAGAATAGAAAATGGTTAGATAGGCCACCTTAAAATACCTTCTGGATCAAAAGGAGCATGACACCATGAAGGCGAACTCTCTGGAACCTCACCATCGGCAGACAAGTTGCACTCCTGTAAATCATGATTTTCATAAGGAAATAATCACTCACATAAGCATTATAGAATAAGTAACAATGAGCTAAGTTACCTTCAGGTTCCTGTAAACAGGTTTCAAATATAGATGATCAACACCCAGAATACAACGATCAATCATGCCAGCAGAATTACAGGCAGGTCCAAGATCTCCTCTCACAGAACATTTCACCTACGTTAAAGTAATCAGAATGAGATAATCAAAGAAAAAATAAGGCATGCTATTCAACTAAAGAAAGGCTCATTTGGAACAAGGTGGATTGGTATCCGGGAAGATGACTTTTACCATAAAAACCTATCCTAATATCAACTTGACAATGAAAACACTCATTGGCAGATGGGTATCTTGGTATGGAAGAAAATATTAACTTCTGAGAAAAAGAAATTAACTTCTGAGAAAAAGAAAAACACTGTACATGTTCTCCTTTTACATACATGCATTCAGATGCGGAGATGCAAGCATGTAAGTTCTATGCTTTAAGCATGATACTAACAACACAAATCATTGAAAGACAGCATGGAGAAAAAGGGTTATAGGCAGAAAGCAATTTTAAAGATTCTACAATGTAAACTTTTGCTTGTTCCATACTCTAAACATTAACCAGACAAGCCAATGAAAGACAGAAAAACAAGTATTAGGAGAAGAACCAAAGTGATGAAGATCCCATGACCTAAACATTTTCTCTTTTCCATCATACTCTAAGAATGATAAAACATGACTTTAAAGTTATTGAGCCATATCAGGAATAAAGTTATTTGAACCATAGCAGGAAAGAACATATACATATAAAAAAAAGGAGAGAAGTTCTGAGCGTGGTCTCACCAAATAAACAAAACTATCATTAGAGGGACGCACAGAAGTTGGTGTCGATGCTTTGAATTCCCAATCTGGTACATACAAACCATACAGTAACCCTGCGTATATGGCTGATAATGAAAAGATGACACACCTAAAAAGTAGAAAACATAAATTGACACTACATAAGAAGAAAATAAAATTTGTAAAAAATAAATTCAGTGCATGAGAACAAAATCAAGTGATCCAAATATTGCTTAGACATTACTCCAGTTGCTTTGCATTCTAGATAAGACACTAGTGATATGCTAAGTTGAATGTCAACTTTTTGGAGTACATATTTGGAGAACAATAACCCCCTCCCTGCTCATCTATGTTGTTATAGACCACACCATAAATAAAAAATGGATGTTTTAGTGATCATGTTGATGATGTCCTATTGATCATGTAGATGACTCCACATAAAGCTCTATGCTAAACACATATTATGAAAGAATTCAAATAATCTACTTTAAGTGTTCACAGACCAACAACCAAGGAAGTCAGACAATGCCCGTAGACATCATTCATAGGACCATCGTTCTTCATGTTCCTTGGACTTGTTGGAAAAAACACTTATGATTTCTTAGGTAGAAGTCCAATAAAAAATGCATATTATACACATAGTTACTAAATATGTTAAGTAACAAAGTGCTATAGTCTATGGATTGAAACCTTACCAGTGCCAGTAATAACTCCTGAAAAATCCCACTTCACCCCATGTCTGACGTGATAGCCAGATTTCACATAAAGCCGCAACAATATATCCAAGTGCTATCCTCTAATTAAAATGACAAAGGTGATAGAAAGTCAACTACTGTATACCCTAACAATAAGAACGACGTAAGGAAATGTATTCAGTTAGAACTATATGTATTGTAAATTCACTCTGCTAAAGCAAGCAACTATCTGAACTGGAGGCTAATGTGATCACCCTTGTGAGACTTTATTTTTTGAAAAATGAACTGAAACCATCAGATCAAAAGTTAAGGCAATTACATCCGTTTTCTCTATAAAAAAGTTAAGGCAATTACACATGGCAATGCTATAGAAAAAATACACGTGGTAATTCCTTAGAAAAACTACACATGGTAATTCCATGGAAAATTTACACATGGTAATTCTATAGAAAAATTACACATGGTACTTATATACAAGAATTAAACCAATTCTCAAGTATTTGGCCCCCAATTACTAAACCCACATCCTAACCACTTATCTTTTCACTCGGAGATGTGCACACCCCAACTATTCTAGAATGGAAAGCAGTTCAAACATAATGGAATGAAAAATTTATGCACCTGCAGAATTCCAAACCACCGTATTCTTTCAATGTCAACTCCAAAAGTCAAGGAAGTTACTCCATGGAAATAACCACCTGAAATGACATGTATCAAGCACAGTTGATATTTCCAGTAGTATTACATAATCAATAGAAAGAAGAAACATGTAATACAATGCCAACTGCAGGATAAAGGATGATGGAGATAAATGAATTTTGGCATAGGAAATAGCATAGATGTTATGTCATTGGCAAGATAATGCTTCTCTTTTCCAGTTCATGTCATGCTAATACGTACACCATGTTGAAAGGACAAAAATCAACATCTTTCTTGATGTATAATATCATTTAATATAGCATAGATGTTTCTGTGCACGGCATGCTTATAGAAGAGCTTACACTGAATAAACAGAAAATATTACCTTGAAGCAGAACGCCTAGAAGAAAAAGTTTTAGGGCCTTAAACACTGCCTTCCATGTAGCTTCTGCTCTGTTTGTCACCTTCTGTAATTTTCAATCAAAATCAAGTTTTTAAATTCTATAAATTCATAACTAAATTAAGAACCTTAATAAAATAAATAAATTCAAATAACCTTCTATTCCCAATCACAATACTAAACTCGAAAGTTGAAAGCAACAAGTTGCCGAATTCTATGTAAAAAAAACCTCTATCAACTCTGTAAGTACCTTGTAGACAAGAGCAAGAGAAACTCCAGCAATGAACAGAAAGAAAGGCATAACAAAGTCTGCCAAATGGAGACCGTTCCACGGCGAGTGAGCGATTATCGGAAAAATTGAGCCGCCATAATCAACTAGCATCATCAGCTGTGGAATTCAAACAATGCAGATTAAATTTGGCAAACACAAATCTATGTCACGTCCTCAAAAAACTTCCTAAAGATAAAGAAAATGAATTGAAAAGTGAAAATTCGATGTTCTGCTTTCGCTTTCCAAGAGTCGAAAATTTCACTTCATCTTCACTACCTAAGCTGATCGAAAATTACAGGAAAAAGAAAGAAAGAAGAAGAAACGAGTAAGAGTAAGACTTGAGAGTATCAGTCTCTATACTACTACTCATTTCCCGCATTTTCTCAGCAGCCAAACAGTACGGATCGAAAGTCAACGCGTTTCACTAGAAGCTTAAACGTTACAATTCGAAGCTTTAAATCGAAATGGAGGTGTTTAGAGAAGGGGAGGAGAGCTCACGAAGACGCAGAGGCCGCGAAAGACATCGAGAGAGGCGATACGCGGAGGTTTCGCGCAGATGGTCGCCGGATGGTCTACTCCGTTTAGTAACGGCGCGTAATCGGCCATTTTATCGGCCGAGACGCCGAAATATCAGAGTTTCGGTAAAGCTGCGGGCTGTGAGTGGCTGGCAGTACGAAAAGTATCGCCTTTATTGGATGTGAATGCGATGAAGAATACGGCGACAAGAGAATAGAAGAGACACCGGTGACGTTTTTTAATCCCGTTTTGGTACAAAAATACGCTCCAATGCACCATGCTATTTTGTCGCGGGGCTATAAATTGTTACGTGGCGCGGTTTTATTGGCGGTTCAAATGTTGGTGCGAAGGCTTGCAACAAAAGGGTGTTCGTATGGTTTTTGAATTTTTGATTAAATATGTATGAGGTTGTAGGGGCCTGTGAAGATTTGTTGCTTTAATGAGCTAAGTACTTTTCAATGGAGCTCATGCTACTCACTAAAAATAGAAATATCATGTTGATTGCGTACTAAAGTAGTAGTCCGAGCAAACCAAGGTGTTTGGTGTGAGTGGTTCGGCACTCTCATTCCTTAAGAGAAGGTCAGGGGTTCGATTCCTGCTCTCGTATGGAGTCACTACTTTAGCCAGCACTTTACCCCTTACGGGCCGACCCGATGTGAGCGGGGATTAGTCTGGGTTGTGGTTAAGGCTTAAAGGTGCCACCCATAGTTGGAGCCCATCTAGGACCACCTCGTGGTTCAGACAAAAAAAAAAAGTAGTAGTCCGAGCATATGAAAATACCACACTTGATATCATGTTTTATTGACTAGTGTAGCATTGCTTTAAGAGCAAGGACGGATTCATAATTTTTAAATGGACTAGGCTAGATTTACTTTACAAAGAAACTTGATAGCACGATGAGCCATATACCTTCCAAAATGCATCAATACATAAGATAGAAGCTAATAAATAAACATGCAATGCAAATACAAGATAAAACTATTTAAGTTGCATTCTTCGAGTCTTTAAAAAATTAAAATGATTAATTATTCATTCATTATCGATATTATCAGTTAATTTTTTATTATTTTTTTGGTTGTGTTAAATACTACATTGCATTTATAAAATTCTTGAAAAAAATCTAGGGTTAATTACAGTTTAGTACCATGTGGTTACACCCTTAAGACATGTTAGTCCCTATCTTTTCAATTTTTACAATCGCATACCCCAAGCTTGTAAATTTGTTACAATTTGATTCCATCGTTAGGGTTTCCGTCAGTTGTATCATTATTTGTTGATCTAGCACTTATGGGGCCCACTTTTTCGCTAGTTTTGAAGTCCTTCCAAGGGCATTTTTGCACTTGAATTTTTTCCTCTCACGCCCTCCAACGCGCAAACCAAAAATTAAGCACCATATTACCAAAAAAAATTTCCACACTTGCAAGTCTTCCACTTGATTTCCTTCATTCGCTGGAGAGGACGACGACACAAAATCAATTGAGAGAAGGCTACAATGAGTTGGGATCCACGACCACCTGGAGAGGACGATCCAGTTTACAGTATGTAGGGATTTAGGTTTTATTTGAATTTTGTTTTTCTAAATAAAGGTTTCCAAGTTCGCATATTTGGATATTAGGGTTTTAATATTGATTTATTTGGGGTGTTAGGATTCTGAGTTCTATTTTTTAGGGAAATGGTTTCAAAGTTCGCATATTTAGGGAACATGGTTTTAATATGGGGTTTTTTTGGGGTTAGGCTTATGAGTTCAAAGTTCTGGGGATAAAGGTTTCCCAATTCGCATATTTGGGGTTTTTTGGTTGTTGTCAGTGGCCTTTATGTAAGCAAAGTTGGTCCGTGGTCCTACTGTAACTCATGTGGATGTTTGGCTTTTGGTCTGGAAAGTGACTTTACTGTGTTGAATAATTCAAATCTCGGTGGTATAGTAAAGTGCATTCTAAAAGTGTTTGCTTGGATTTTTCTGTGTGGTAATTGTTTAGTTGGTGGTTTCTGTGTATGTCTATAAATCCATGCAATGTGTAATAGTACCATAATGTTGGATCATCTATGTATGCAAACGATGATTGCTTATTTAGCATTCGAATGCACCATGGTGGAAGACTGATACACAAGTACTATTTGGATGAAACTGTTACTTACTTTGATTATGTGGATAAAGACAAGATGTCTTTAATTGAAATAGACTGCATGACTGTGTATTTGGGCTACATAGGTAGGATTGATTATTGGTATAGGGTTGAAGATGAGGGTGGAGTTTGACTTATAAGTTATTGAAATGTATGAAAATGTGTCTAAGGTTAGGATGATTAACATGTACATGGATCATCAAGACAACCTCGATGATGTTCTGAATAGCCATACTAATTCTAACATGTATTGCCGATATTCTTCACAAGTATATCATTATGTTGATGATGTGATAAGTCCAGTTGTTATCCTTCAAGAGCTACCAGAGTTTGATAAAGCAATTATACTACATGATGGGTTGGATGAATCTACTTCCAATGAGGTACATAGGACAAGGAAACTAACTTAATCAATGAATTCAGCTACTGCCAAAGGCAAAGAAAAGGTGGCAGCAGTTGATGAAGGGCGTGTACAACATGAGCCAAACAAAGGTAATTCCAAAGGCAAAGAGAAGGTGGCAGAAGTTGATGAAGGGTGTGTACAACATGAGACAAACAAAGCTACTTCCAAAGGCAAAGAAAAGGTGGCAGAAGTTGATGAAGGGTTTGTAGATTTGAGATCAACGAAGTAAAAAGATCTGTTAGGAAGAGGAACCCCTCAATTCAATAAGAAGCTGATGATGCTGACGATTCTTCAGAAACTGATGATGAAAAATGAGTACGGTATTAATGAGGATGATGACAGTGAAGTCTTCTTACATGAGGTTGATATAGATGGTGAGTAGGGTTGAGCAAATGCTGAGCAATAAGTACCAAAGCCTTCAGATGTGGGAGACTTTGTGGATAATGAAAACATGTTTGCAGTTAATGATGATAATGAGCAGCATCTTAGGAAAACACCACAACCAGATGAGGAGAGCACTGGTCATAGATTCCCAGAGTTTAATACTTCTTGTGACATGGGAACTGGCGAGTTTGAAGTTGGCATGCAGTTTGCAGATAGTTCTAGCTTCATAAATGCTATGAAGGCCATTTCAATAAAAGAATGATGAGAAATATGTTGGATGAAGTTTGAGAAGTATAGGATTAGGACAATTTGTGCAGCTGAGAACTGTCATTTTGAGATTTATGTATCCAAGATGCAACATGAAGACATACTACAAGTGAAGAGACTAGATCCCAAACACACATGTAGCAGGGTATGAGAAAACAAATGGATAAGATCTTCCTGGTTGGCTCAAACATTTGTGGAAGAGGTGAAGACAAACCTCATTGTACCAATGGTGTCCTTGAAGGCAATAATGTAGAGGATATTAACAGTGGAATATCATTGTCCAAGACTAGGAGGGCAAAGAATAAAGCTTTGAAAATCCTAGAAGGTACCATTACTACATAATATGCTAGACTCTGGGATTATGCTGCAGAATTGAGGAACACAAATCTTGGAACAATAGTGCAAATCAAATGTGATTTCAATACATTGTTACAAAGGCATGTGTTCCAAAGAATGTACACTTGCTTAGGTGCCTGTAATAAGGAATTCAAGGCTGGATGTAGACCTGTAATAGGACTAGATGGGTGCCATTTGAAGAGTCCTTATGGAGGCCAGTTGCTGTCAGTTGTTGGTCTAAATGCCAATTATATGACATAGTTTATTGCTTATGTTTAAGTGGAAATGGAAACCAAGAATTTATGGATATGGTTTTTACAGCTGTTGGTGAAGGATATTGAGTTGGTAAACCAATATAGGTTTACATTCATAAGTGATAAGCAGAAAGGCTTGGTGGAGGCTTTTAAAGAAGTCGTGCCTAATTGTGATCACAGATTTTGTGCAAGGCATCTCTCCACAAACTTCTGTTTGGTATACAAGGGAAAAATATTGAAGGATGTAATGTGGAGGGCTATATTTGCAACCACAAGTCCAGAGTTTAAAAGGGCAATGGAAGTGTTGAGGACATTAGATGGTGAAGCTTATAAATGGCTAACAGTTAATGTTTTAAGAACATTGTGTAACAATAACTAGTTATTTTTCTGTTTAATTGAACTCAATGTACATTTACTAATCTAAATGTTACTAATGTGAAACAGCTCCAGAGACACCACTAAGACATTAGTCAAGGTCACATTTCAACACTACTTTGAAGTGTCCAATACTATTGAACAATCTATGTGAGTTTTTTAGTTCCTGGATAATGTCAGCTATGTGTAAGCCAATAATTTCAATGATGGAGGAGATTAGGGTTAAGTTGATGAGAAGGATACAAATGAGAAGAGATTGGATGATGAGATGGGATCGTGCAATATGTCCCAGGCCCCTAGGAAAGCTTGAAACCAACAAAAAACAAGTTGTTAATTGCATTGTTATTATGTCTGGAGGAACCAAGTTCCAATTAGATACTGCAACTGGTGGGCAATTTATAAGTAATTTGGATGAGAAGATCTGCTCATGCCAGAATTGAGATTTATCTAGTGTCTCATGTAAGCATGCAGTGCCAGCTATTAACCATAAGAGAGGACATGGGCCTGACACTTATATAGAAATGTGGTATATGTGGCCAAAAGGTTCATAATTGAGTAACATGTCATAGACATAAGCCACCAAATGATAGAAACCAACCTAGAAAGAAAAAAAAGGCTAAGTCTGTTGTTGGAACTTCTATTCCAGCTTCCAAACCTGACAATTATGATGCTGAGATGAAGAGGAAGAATCAAATGAGAGAGAAGGCAAAGCAAATGGCTAAAGTACTGAAGGTAATTGCACTTTACAATTGTATTTGTTTGTTGGGATGATGGTTGTGTGACAATAGGTGATAGCATTATGTCTTTGTTTGTTTTTTCAGGAAAATAGAGACAAAAATAAAGCAGAAGCTGCAACAACATCTGCAGCATATTCAAGCAATCCAACTGGAGTGAGAAAAAGGACTAAATATAGCAACACCAGATGTAGCAATTATGCTTCTGTCCAAGAATCACAAACTGGAGTGTATGATCAATTAAGGTTTTGTATGGACAGACTGTATTGGAAGGTGTTTTTTGGCTTTGATATGAATCATTGGTTGTTAGCTGGCTTTGGTATGAATCATATTTGGTAATGTATTTTGGTT